TACAGTAAAAATTAATCTGAAAAAAGTAAGTCATAACACAGAATACTAGTCTTTTCGTCGATGGATAAAGCATTTAAATTTTCTAAGTTTCATCCTTACATATGCAATTTTTTTCTGTCCGTGTATGAAAATTTGCAAGGTAAGAATCAGCTACTTTTCAAAGCAAGTTCATTGATGGCCAAAATAATAGTAACGAATCACTGGCGATTCATCTGTATGCATTACATCTACTTAGTTACTCCACGGACGATTTCAACATTCTAATTCAAGTACGTCAACTATGAAAAATAATAGTTCCATATAATGGACGATTCACCTGCATTTATAACTTAGTTACTCCGATGACAAAAAATACATTCTAGATTTCTCAACCTAATAAACATTGCACTATAAAGCTCCATAAAGGCTCCAGCTGCACATGCTTTGTTCGCGCTTCATATTAGCATAAGAGGAGCTGAAATAATGCAGCGATGGAGTGGCCAGTGACGCATGACTGCAGACGGCCTGCTATAGGGCTCATCGAAGGGCGCGGGTGTTGAAGCCAGTGGACCTGACGGTGACCTGACCAATACATTGCGGCCAGATGGTGGCAAAAACACTTGCTTGTAGTGCTATTATTATATAAGCAATACAACTGGTCTTATTATATCATAACTCTTATTATATTATTACAAAAATCTTTTTGCATCATAGTAACCGCAATTAAGTGCTCAGAATTTACTTCACGGGTTGATGTTTCGAATTAAAGCTATTGCAATTTAAAAACGGGCAAAAAAACACAAAAATAAATGCATGAAAACATTCGAGAACAATCATCATAAATGCAACAAGCACTTGAATTCTTACTAATATTACAACTGGGAGCCTAAGTAGAATCTTCAGAGAGCTTTCAGGACTGGCCAACCTAAAACAAACGGGTGGCTTAAGAGCTCAAGTTCACGGAATAACTTTACTCAGGGGTCTGATCCGACCTTTGCTAACAGGACTAAAAAGATGTCAGGAATGCAAGTAAGGTAGGTCGAATGGGTGACTCCAAGCCACAAGAGGCAAACGTTGGCCATACAAGGACTGAAAACGAGAGCTGAAAATGTTCCTGGAACGTATAAGGATTTGACTTCAGTTATTGTGTCAAGAGAAATTGATAAAATATAGAGAATGGCGATTGACTGCGGTGGTTTTACTTTTAACCGAAAGGCTGATAAATAACAAGAGGAAAGTGCTCAATTGTCTTCCGAAATGTTTAATAAGAAAAAATTACTTGAACATTGCATCCAAAATTCAAAGACTTTAATAAATTAATGACTACAAAAAGGTTTTAATAAATTTATGACTTCATTAATGGGTAGAGTATCCGGGAAAGAGCAATAATTTTTTCGTAATATATTTCGGTGATTTTATACAGAGAGAAAAAATTTACAAGCATGAGAGATCAACATGAGAAGAATTTATGTATTAACTTGCTGTACTGTTGAACTGAGAGAAAACTATTGCTAATGGAAAAAATGTTAGACATTAATGTGGCCAGATATTTCGAGAGGCAAGATAAATTTGGTTCACTCTACTTTGATGAACTTGTAATTAAAATTATTGCATCTAAGCATCGGGATAATTAGTAATTTGTACGTCCTTACGTCCTTAGGAAAGTTAAACAGCAATTGTTTGCTGCAACTAGCGTGAAGAAATTGTTTTATGAATACAGAGAAATTCGCCTAAAATTCTTGATTGCGTACAACCGAATTCAGAGACGATATTACCATGTGGAAAACAAATCAGACGAGTCTTTACTATGAATACTATCCAATGATCATGGCTTAAGACTCAACGAATGACTATATTTGTATTTTAGAGTATAAACATTATAGGTTAAACGTTAAAGAATGTTTTCAAAGCTATCAAGCTTAAATGGACAGCTTGCTGACCTCAGGCTCCAGAGGCACTGCAGATGGCGAAACCTCATACTTTCTTCGCAAGAATTATAATGGTGAATCTGATGGAAAACTTCCCTTAAAAGTCACGTTTGATCACCTCCTTAGGGTTGCCTTATAAGTCAAAATATATATTACTGAATTGTTTCAAAGTGCAATTAAATAATTTACACAACCTTGAAAAAACTCGCGGAACATCTAAGCTGTGGGGCGGGGTCAGATGGTCGGTTAATTGTATTTCGTTTAAATAGCAACAAAGACGACGATTAAATAAAATGTATTACTCAGTTGATTTCCAGCAGATATATGTTCGCATCTACATGAAGTTGTGAGTTTTGATATAGAATAATCACAAACATTGCTACATTCGTTGGCACTCGTTGCCGTTGATGCAAGTTACAATTTTTTTATCTCCAATTCCAAGAAATAAAAATAGGCAAACTTTTAAAGGATTCAAGAAACAAGCAAATCATTAATTTTTCTGGTCGAGTGAGGGCAAATACTTTGACTAGCGCGATTCATAGCAGCCAACAAGACCTTTGAATTGAACGCCATTTAAATTATAGATATAAATAATACAGTTGTATTAAAACAGCTGTATTAAGGCATGCCCAGTCTAATAAAGAAGGTACCTAAAAATTATTAATGTCAATAATGTTTTAAAACTTTTAACAATATCTGGAGCGCTAAGTTGACCATGGCCACTTTTTACAGGCAAAAAATTATCACAACGACCGCGCCTTCTCCCGTAGCTGTTGAGACAAAGAAAGATCTCATCCGAGATTCCATGCGAGTTGAAAACGGGAAATTAATAACAAAATTGGATACATAGTCCATTTTACGAGGTTACCAGAGATAAATTTTAATTATATTTTTTCGTACAATTTAATTTCCAGTACAATAGTCATTTGAAACCCAGCAGTGAAATTACACATTATTACAAACGGTGTCATGAGAAATAAATGTACGATACAAAAATAATACTCTTGCCTGAAATTTAAACAGGTACATAAAATACATTTTGACTGCAAAGTCTGCATTGTTCCAACTTTAAAAAAAATAAACTCACAGTTTTCACGAATCTGCAAGTAGCATTAGCGTTTTCGTGTTTGTGCTCATCTTTCAAATGGCATGCGGCTAAACTAACTCAGCACAAACATTCATTCCATTTCATAAATGAAAAGGAGTTTATTTCGAAAAAAAATCATCGATGCAACTCATCATCACTTAAAAATAGATCATGGTACTAATTAGGAACAACAATTAGAAGCAGGTGAACTATGGACTGAGATATTTTCTCGGTGGGCTTTCATAACGATTTAAGTCATTAGATTAGAACAACTCTCTCATCCAGTAGGGACAGTTTGTTATATGCGAGAGAGTGTAGCCATGGTATTCCGAGCATAAAAATTCGAGGGAGTGCAAGCATGATCAATAGAAAAAAATGGTGCGAGCTTAACAATACGAAAATAAAGTTGCTATACTCCCAGTTCTTTACTTCGTTGTTCCAAGAGTCTGGGATAATTCAATACAAACTTCGTTTTGGCAACCACGGCCGCCCTATTGCAGTATGACAAATAAATCCAACTAATGTTTCCTGAAAAACATTATGGAATTAAAAAAGGACCAAATTATTGAAGTGGAATCGTACTTTAAATAAATATTATTTGGATGGGGCTATATTAGAGTAGGAGTAAGCTAGTCATGAATAATTGCGTAACGAAGCGATGCTACGGAACTTAACGCAGCGATTGAGAGCAGGCAGCGAGCGTTCAGAACTATAAGAGCCTACTATGGCCTTTGAATAATGAGCTTAGCTGTACGTGGAGCCTCCGTAGTAATTCTACGCGCGCTGCCAACAGTTTGGCGCTACCGTGCGCTCGTTATTCTTTGCTACCCAATTAGCTTCACAGTTCAGGTAAGAATAGCATTATGAAAAACAGGATGAATGTGCCTACATGGGCAGCACATAATCTAACCTACCTAGTGCGTAACGCCCTTCCTTGCGGTGCTAATCACAAGAGACCCAGAAGTTGTTTTTGCTGCTGGCCTCTCAATGGGCAATAGTTGGCTTCCCGGAGTCACCAATAATTTTAGTGCATGGAAAAAGACGTGTCAAATCAACTAAAATGAATGTATTTTTTGCTTTTTTAACTGCAAATTTGACAAAAATCTATTAGCCTTCAACTAATTACGCTTTTATCTTAAAACACATGCAAATGTAAAAAATATAACTCGGTACTCGCTGCAGTGAATGACAGAGAGCGCATTTTCTCGTCGACGAAAACGTGAAGTCACGGACTGACAGACGGACGGATATGGCGAGCACAATAGTGCATTTTTTCCATAAATGAGAAAATGCGCCAAAAATCTCAACAAGTATGGGAGCAACGAAGTTTTTCTTACAATATAAACTAGTGAAAACATTCGCGCTGGAATGGAATAAATAAAGCTGATCGAAGGATATGCAGGCAACGTTTACAATTTAAAAATGAAGCTAAATTAACATTAGCTTCCTCAACTAAAATTATGATATTACGCGTATCAGACCCGATAAGAGTTATAGTTTAATGACTCCTCTCTTCACGGAGGATTCAAAATAAACAAATGAAATAAGTTATAAGAGGATTCATAGAAATCCTTACCATACATTGAATGGTAACTACGAAATTCGCACGTCATCCAGTAATTCAGTTCTCGGGTCCTTTCAGGCGTACAAGTTCTTGTTGAAATTGTTGTTGTTGAAGCATCAGCATAAAATCAGCGGATTGTTGAAGCATCAGCATAAAATTTCGGTAATTACACAAGAATTCACCGTTATAAAACGCACTTATGTTCGGAAATTCTTTGAATGGATAAATCTGTGAAATTATAATTACGCATAAATGAAATATTCATACCTAGTCATCCAAGACAAATGAAGAGCAATGTGAGGCTAATTTGATCAATTAATAATATTTAAATAATAACAACATGTAAATACTAACAAAATAGAAATAATAACATGAAAATAATAACAACATGAAAATAATACGTAAATAATAGAAAAATTCTCCGTTAATTACAAGTACTCACCTTTAAGTTGCTTCATGAGCCGCTTCGTAGGGTCCAGCCAGTGCTGTAAAAAGAAACAACACTGAGAAATTGTAAAGAAAAATAACAAAATATTAACTATGTACGTTCTCAGACCAACATTACGTTTCGTTATAATGTTATAATTTGGAGAAGAATTGAGCTCCAGGTAGAATACCTAAGTACAAAATGTTTCCCATATTTGGTAGGATTTTGAATAGACTATTATAGGCAAGCTGCGCTAGAAGCAAATACATTTTAAAATGAATTTTAACACTAATTGATAATTGAGCACAATGTTATGGTAATAACAAATCTAATGAACGAAGACAGTTGTGTAATAAAAGGAAAAGTAGAAATCTATTGGAATAATCATTAATATTTTTCGCGATGCCACAGCATTACTAAAATGACGCAATGAAATGAAAATGAAAATTATATATAATATCAACCCTGTAAATAATAATATCTATCATGGAACCCTACAATTGAATTATCATATTTTTCCGAAATACTTCCTTAAAGTTCACCGTCAGTTTTCAAATTCATCATAGTCGCTCATCACGTTCAAGTTAGAAAATCAAAATAAGTTGGAAGAGATGTTGGAAATCGAGTTAGAGAAGAAGATTCTAATTGGGAGATCTACGGACTTGAAAACATCCACCTTGGGAAACATGGAAAAGCTTTAGTTCTTCGCTTGCAAGTCAGTGTCCATATTTATGATCGCCAATAACCTGATACTCCAATTAATGGACAAGGTCCCAGCTTTTCGACGCAAAAATCGCATGAGTATTCCTCCATTTAAGTGAATGACTCACCTCATCAATAGCCATAGCCCAAATAGTCAAGGGCAAGCCGATGTTTATTTCTAATACTAATTCATTGATGTCAAGAAGGCAGACCTTCAGATCAAATAGCATTATTTGCCGACGCGATCAGTGCTAAGTGCATTAAAGTGGCTTCGAACACACGCAGGCTGTAGAGCTCTTTGAGATGGTCCCTTCAATGGCCTTTAAATTGGAGACCTTGAAGAACTGCCTACATTACATTAGTCTTTATTTGCTATGGACTCGAGCAGTGGAAGAAACAGTGGCCACCAACGCTGGACCTTTCCTGCTTGCTTAAATTTATAATACTCGTGCCGACGAAGAGAAAAAAATGAAGAGAAATGAAAGGGGACAAAATAAAATGGAACATCAATCATTTGACAAAAATGAATAACACTATGTGCATGTGATGACACGCAAATATGATCGAGACAAATGAATCAGCTCATCCTAATTGCTAAAACGTAATCTAATTAGAAATTTAAATTGTAATGAAACATGCCATATTGAACTGTACACTTTGGAACTGTATACACCTGCTATCGGCTTAAAAATTATGATGACTAACATTATTTAATCATCTATCGAAATTGTTATGAGAAAGCATCAAATAATGATTAACAGCTTCATCTGTTACCTTATAGCCAGACTAAGTTTTCTTCCCAAGTTAAAAACTGACCATTTGACTGATCCATCAGTTTAGAGCAGGTGGACGAATTCACGTACTCTCTTTGATTGGTAACAGGTGGTAACTAGATGTAATTTTAAGTAGATATAATGGTAAATAGATGCAATGGTAACTAGATGTAATGGTAAATAGATGCAATGGTAACTAGATGAAATGGTAACTAGATGTAATAGTAACTAAATGTAATGTAACTAGACATAGTGGTAACTAGATGCAATAATAAATAGATTGATGTTAACTAGATGTAATGGTAATTAGATGTAATAGTAGGTAGATGTAATGGTAACTAGATGTAATGGTAACTAGATATAATGGTAACTAGACGTAATGGTAACTAGATGTAATAGTAGCTAGATGTAATGGTAACTAGATGTATTGAAACTAAATGAAATAGTAACTAGATTATTGGTAAGTAGATGTAATGGTAACTAGATGTAATGGTAATTAGATGTAATAGTAGCTAGATGTAATAGTAACTATATGTACTGCTAACGAGATGCGACGGTAACTAGATGTAATGGTAATGAGATGTAATGGTAACTAGATTTAATGGTAACTAGATGTAATAGTAACTAGATGTCATAGTAACTAGATGTAATGGTAACTAGAAGTAATAGTAGCTAGATGTAATAATAGCTAGATTAATGGCAACTAGATGTAATAGTAACTAGATGTAATAGTAGCTAGATGTAATAGTAACTAGATTAATGGTAACTAGATGTTATGGTAACTAGATGTAATGGTAACTAGATTAATGGTAATTAGATGTAATAGTAGCTAGATGTAATAGTAACTTAATTAATGGTAGGTGTAATGGTAACTAGATGTAATGGTAACGAGATGATGTGGTAACGAGATGTAATAGTAACTAGATGTAATGTTAACTAGATGTAATGCTAAATAGATGTAATAGTAACTAGATTTAATGGTAACTAGATTGTAAGTGAACAAGTCGTTAAAGGCTAAGCAAGACACGTCTTAGAGACCATCTTGCATTGACAAGCGGGGCACTAGAAAATGATTTAGGAAGTCTCAGGTAAATCATCACAAGTTCATTCAATAATATTCTAAAAAACTTCCCTCTATACAGTTTGACAAGGTGGCCAAAATTTACCATTATCTGTGGCCTTTAACATTAAAACATACAAACAGCTTAACCAAAGAATCGTTTTTCAACACAACAGCATTGAGGCGTATAATCAAGTATTGCTGAGAGATATCATGTACGTAGAATATATGTACCTGTTTAGCATATGGATGCGTTGAACTAATAGGCTCGCGTGAATTATGTTTTTCGACTCGGTTTTTCTTCGGCGTACTATTCGTTTACATTCCGATACATCGTTACCAGAATAGGGTCTGCGCGAATATTCATTAATACGTCTTCTTTATTTGGCTCTTTGCATGCAAGACATTGAAATTGAAATTAGTTTTTAGCCACATATTTTAGCTTCTGTAGACAAGCTGAAATGTGGTCATTATCAAACAGTACGCTATTAGAAACAACCTATTACTGGTTGTTGTTCCCGTGAAACTGTGAATTGAAATCAGTTCTAAAACTTTCATCATCATAAGGTAGTTAATAATATTTAGCCATCAAGTCTACGTGTAAGAACAAATTTATAAAAATCTAACTACGAGAAAAAACAGACAATGTTTGAGTATTTAAACAAGCCTTAATTACGAGATTATCACTCGAATAATTTAGTGGGCATTAAATTGAAACGAACGTCAAGCTCACCATGAAGATTATGAAGTCGCTTCGCCAACACGCCTCTTAAGAAGTTTGAATAAAATTTGCATTGCATTAAATTCCAGATCACGAATGCGCGGTTAGCTCCTGAAACTGTAGGGACAGTTTGGAAACATTTACGATAAAGTTGAAAGGATTTATACAATTTTTATTAAGTTCGTGAATTCTGATTGAAATTTTCTGTTGTAATCGATGGGAAAATTTTTGGGTTAAAAATTCGTCTACTGAATAACTGAAGAATAGTGAATTCACTGAACCCAGATTTGAAATTGATTTTCATATAGTTTTTTTAAACTTTCGGGATGATTCTTATCTTTAATTATCAAATTTATTTGAAATGAAACCAATTTTATTTAATTTTTGAAAAATGTTATTATTCGTTTTTTTTTTGCAAATTTAAGGGATCCATTTTGAAGCACATTTTCTGAAGGCTGAATCAATTCTTAAATCGAAAGACGAAAACTAAATCTACAGATAAATAAAAACAAACAATGTGATTGAAAAAATAACATCGACGGATGAAAAATTTCTTTACCCAAACATTCATCGGAGAGTTAGTTCAAGAAGCGCAATGCCAAGCCACTGCCTCTACGCAAATAGGATATTCAAATTCAAGGCTGAAGGCCTCATTAAGCGATGCGTTGTCTGAAGCTCACTTTCAATACACGCAAGCATGTTTCATAGGGCGACCAACAGCAGAATAAATAGCCAGTGTATACCCTCAACCTAATCCTTTTACCTTCAAACTACTCCTTTTCCATCAACCTACTCGTTTTATCCTCAATCTATTAGTTTTACCCTCAACTTACACAATTGAGGTTAACCTACTACTTTTACCCTCAACCTACTACTTTAACCCTCAAACTGCTCATTTTACCCTCAATCTGCTCATTTTACCCTCAATCTACTACTGTTACCCTCAACCTACTACTTTTACCCTCTATCTACTAATTTTACCCTCAACCTACTACTTTTACCCTCTATCTACTAATTTTACCTTCAACCTACTACTTTTACCCTCAATCTACTAATTTTACCCTCAACCTGCTCTTTTTTTCCCTCAACAGGAAGCACCTAAGCAACTAAATATTCACAGCGCAATTCATGGAGTTCGGTCAAAATCTTAAATCCTCTAGCTTTGGATTCCGAAATGGGTAGCATAAAAATAATTAGATTTTGATCGAAGTTTTTCGAGTCGACATCATCAGATATAAAAATACAATTGAAATATTTTTAACTTTCTTTCAAATTGATTCACAGTCACCGCTTTTAACAACAGATTTTCATCTCACGCCAATGGCGAGACGATTTTGAATTTTCAATGCATAAAAAATTGGCAATTAAAAACAATTAAATTACGTATCAATCGCATTACGAATTCCAGTAAAATAACTTTTCTCGTAAGAAAATTTTTGAAAGATGAAAACTACATTAAAACAATGATGAATTGTAAAGGCGGTACTGAGTTTGAATAAAGTCTGCTGTATATTGCCGAATTAAGTAACAACTCCTTTCACAATTTTGAATTCTTGACTATGCCGCTAAGAAACTTTGAAACATGGAGGGCGCAATTTAAATTAATATTTCTAATCAACCAGTTCAAAACACTTTAAAAAATTATTCTCGTTAGAGTGATGAGCACAAAACGCAGTTATCAGGGCTTAAACTCAGCAATTGTTTGCATTTCATTTCCATCAACGTCGATCAAAATAAAGAAACACATGAAATTCGCTACATCAATGAAACCGATTTGCTATAATCAGTGACTTTTCTGCAGTTATTCAGCGCTTGCAGATTAGCTGGTGATCCCTCAATACGGTATATAAAATACATTTAATGGATAGGAACAAGTTTATAAGCTGCCACTCGACGCCCGTCAGGCGTTCTGGTAATAAGTGAGCGTTAATCGAAGACGCGCTTGACACGTTTTTGTTCAGCGCAGAGTTCGCTGTCGAGTGCAGTGCAAAGTAGCTCGTATAAGGAATCGAATGAGAATAAAAAATGGATCCAGTTCACAAAAAAGATCGAACGAAAAGATAAAATAGAATTATCTCGTGTAAGAAATCGAACGTGAAGAAAAAAGATCAAAATGTAAACGATAATTAACAAAAATTACCTATGTGAATTTTCGGCTAATCGAACATTGCAATTCGCGAACGAAACTAATTGGGGCAAATCATAATTAATTTTAATTTAAAAAGAGGAAAACTTTTAGGTAACCAAAATGATGATAAAAATCAACTTTTAAAATTTCAATTCAAATCTTGGGATAGGTCATCGGCCGTAGTTGATCCAATAGCTGGCCACCGATAATTTGCATGGCTCGTAATTAAGGAAACATCAATAGTGCTGGAATGATCGACATAAAAATATGGATCGTTCTGATCGAGTTACGCCCACATCAAAACACATCAACTTGCGAACTACAATCATAAAAAATTGAAGTATTAACTTCTACATAATAGTAATGAATTTAGTCGGTCACACTCAATATACGAACGTTAACAAGCTTAAGCTAACGTCTGATGGGTATTTGTTACAAAAAAAATGGATCACCCTCATAATGAGCGCATGAATGACGAATTATTTTGTAATTTGTTGTACATGGCTCCTTATTGAAAGTTAAAATTATCCACGAAGGATGACCCATCTATAATCATCAAGCAATTACGTAAGATGCAATACTTACGGTGTGATTTTCAGGATCCAAAAAACGTAGGCCAAAGTAGGCCGTCTCGAGCAGGTTGAGATGCTGCAGGACAACGTCAAGCAGGTCTTGGCCTGTAGTTGCATCCTGAAAGGGACGAAAAAAGATAATGTAAATAATTCATTAATAATAAAAATTCAAATAAACTTGTTTCAACAGATATATTACCGTTTTCAATTTTATTTTGCGTTGATATTATGATTACATAATCTGCCGACTGAGGACAGTGACATGAAATTTTGGGCTTATAATTTAAATAAAATTAATCTTAATAGAGGAAAAAATGTAATATTGAGATGAAGAAAAGTTGGGAAATGGAAAACTCTTATAATTTATTAGAAATGATTTCTTACTTGAGTCAATAGTAAATGAAAAGAGAGCAACACACGGAAAACTTTGAAGAAAAACTGGGTTGCATGGCGGAACATATTTGAGTAAAATACGTACATGAATAAAACATTTATCTGACGATGTCATGTCGAATTATATTAAATTACTTTATACGCAGCGTGTTAGAATGACATCTATATGCTAATATGACGCAATGCTAAAAGAGGTTAAAAAATATAACTCAGTACTCACTGCAGTGAGTGACAGAGAACGCATTTTCTCGTCGACGAAAACGTGAAGTCACGAACGGGCAGACGGACGGACGGACGGACATGGCGAGCATAATAGTGCATTTCATATATAAATGAGAAAATGCTCTAAAAATGGGTTGTAACTTCTACACTAAATTAACCAGTACAACTTCCCAGTTTCCACCCATAACTTCCTTATAACGTCAGGTAAATTTACGAAGTACATTAAAGTTTCTAAAAATATGGACGATATTATAGAAAATATGACCACTACACTACCATATTACATAAAATGAATGAATGATCAAGCAAAGTAAATTTAATGAATAAATTAAAAATTTGGCCATAATTATTGATAATATATCATTATCAAGTAAGTTAACGTAGTTCATTACTAAACCAAAGCGGGATCAACATGGTCGAAGTGCAGCTGAGCGGTCAAGAATGTTTGTTAAGTATTGTTACTACGCTGATCTCGTCAATAGAGCGCTACGGAGGCACCGCCTTCGATCTTGCGGGTAATTTTAAAGGTAATTTGCCTCCATAAACACGAACAAATGGCTAATTTTTCCCATGTAAGGTTCATTGAGAATAAGCGAGAAAAAAATTTGAAGTGTTACAAACGTAACCATGAATAAATTGCCGCTAGACTGGACACTAAAAACCATCCCACTCGACTGCACAACCTCTCATTACATGTATTTTCAAACTAAGATATAATTTGTACTACTAAACATAGCCAACTCATAGAGAACATAATCATGATCAAGAACTCTCATAAAGTGATCACCAAAATATACTATATACTTATACTATAATACAATACTTCAGCGCCGAATAATTATTTTTATAGTCCTTTAAGTTTTTATCGAGTTTATTATATTTATATGCAAGTAATGTTGCGATCTTCAAAACACGGGCTTAATTTAAACAGAAGTCCAGCAAGTGTCATCTGCATGCACTTAAAGCTTTAATGAATGCATGAAGGTCAACCAGTATCAAAAATGCAAGTGCCAATTAAGAATGATGACCCAAGTCGCCAAAGCAGGCAAGGCGGGTAACATCTCTAGCCAACAGCGGACCAATCGTAACCAAGTGACCGTAAGAGGTGGTGCAGACGCAGAATATTTATCATAGAACATTGCAGACCATGAGCCTGCGAGACCTAGACAGACCATTCGATATGAAACATTGCAGACAATGTGGTTGCGAGACCTAGAAAGACCATTCGATATGAAACATTGCAGACATTAAGGTTGCGAGACCTAGACCTGTCTCTTATACACATCNACAATGCAGAGAATGTGGTTGCGAGACAGACCTAGACAGACCATTCGATATGAAACAATGCAGAGAATGTGGTTGCGAGACAGACCTAGACAGACCATTCGATGTGAAACATTGCAGACAATGTAGTTGCGAGGTCTAGGCAACAACATTAAATGCAAGACATAACATACAATGAGCCTGCGTGGTCTAGTCAAAACCATTTTGTAAGAAACATTGCAGACAATTTGCCAGCGTGGTCTAGGCAAAACATTCAATATAAAAAATTCTAGACGGCGAGTCTGCGAGGTCTAGAAGAGAACATTTAATACGTAATATTACAGACAATGAACCTGCAAAGTTTGGGCAAGCCAGCAAGGACATTTATCAACACAAGACAGAAATTTTATGACCGTAAAATCTTGAAAACCATCAAGAAGAAATTGTCCATGTAAGATGGTGTTCGAAGAAAGAATGTAGTAGAATGGGAAATATTGTTTGACATATCACTGATAAATCATTAAGTGGCTTCAACGTTTTATCGGATTGATTGCAGTTAATATTAATTGTCAGTCAGTGATCAAGCGCCTCAGAAATTTAGAAATGAAAACGAAAAAGGTGAATGAATCATAAATTTAAAAATTAAAACTAGAATTAAACCAGCTTTTAAATCAGACCTGCTACGGTGCAACTTGCATAGTAACATTTGAAATGGACTATCCGCACCTATTTATCACCGTGACAATCTGCAGCCATGGATTTTGGGAAATTTATTTGATATAATATATTTAAATAAAATGGATTTTTGCTCATAGCATAGGTCTCCTCAAGATTGGTTTGCCAAAATAAGAACTGCTTTTGGCTAAAATTTAATTATTAAGCAAGTGCAACTCCCTTCAAACACTAGTAAACTGAATATGGGACAAGAATGAGTTAATTCGTTGAAAACTTCTTTCAAATGACGACACAGAAGATTAACATCTATTGTGAGATTCTTCGTAAATTTTTTTAGAATAAGATTCGATTTTTTGTCCCGGTAAATTTAAGATTCCACGTAGGAACAGAATTAAGGACGAATAATAAAAATAAGACGAACTGGTTGACAAGGCCAATGAACAGCCAAACCCAAGCAGAAACTGAGCCAGAAGCCTCGACTAAAGTTCGCCCATTAAATTACGTCGAGTTGGAGGAGCCTCTAGGAGCGTGATCGCCATAAATCAAGAATAATTGGCTAATGGTCGCCTTCTAAGAGGCATTTTATAATAAATTCGTCATTCTTAATTGAATTCTGGAAAGAGGTTGCAATCACTGGGAGCTTCTAAGGGCAGATTAACCGAACACTTTAAAGGACCTTTGGCTGACACGCACTTGATTATACGACGCACTAATCTCGTTCACTCTCAGCAGTCTGAGACATAATGAATCTGAGGAGGTTGTCTTCTAATGAAGTTCTGCAAAAAATTACATGCAGAATAACCGCAGTTGCATAAGAATTCAACTATTTAAGAGACGAAAACAGGAGAAAATATAATGGAAAAAAATTTTTCTTTACCTAAAAGTTACGGAGTTTCAGTTAAGAAAAAAAAGTTCTCTTAAAAGACAGTTAAACAAGAAAAAAATTTTACCAAATCTATGGTGACGGAGGATTTACAAATTAAACGGAAAATAAATGATACTAGAAAATGCTAAAACAAAACTAAACTCTTGGGAATCTCGGCAATGCAAAATAAAAGAGTTAAGAAGGCAACCCTAAAACTACGCTTCTAAATAAGGTAACAAAAAAACAATAATTAATTGAAAAACCGGCGATGGTCGTAGAAGCGAGGGCATCGAACGCGCGGCCGACAGCCTGAGACGAAGCTCGGGACAACTGTGCCGTCATGCATATAATTACCTATATAATTACGTTGCTGCCGCAATGCACAGTGTTCCACCAAAAACCCATGCTAACTAATGACCACGCCATGAAACTGCATATTTCTTCACTTAAACGCCGATAATTACATAGGAGCGTCAAGCAGGTATTTGGTGCAGTGCCCTCACAAGACGCAGATTGATGGCCAACATCAAGGAAGCGTTCGTCCTCCTCGGGCGATTTTGTGCAGGCTAGCCTCACTAAAGTGCATCTAACATGTGTTCATATTTTTTTTTGAGCCATACAATGACATCTTTGAACGTTCGGTATAGCCGGTGGTCCACTTAAAATATATCGCTGCACTTACATAACGGTTTGTCCTGCTAACCCGTGCACCGAGTAGGCAAAATTTCATTTATTTACATAATTTATTGATTTATGCGTAAATTTTGCGATTATAGTTCATGAAAGTAACTGTTGTTATATGCGCGGTTGCAATACTAGAAACGAATCATTCAGATAGCAGCAAAAACAAATGAATAAGCAAACATTTTTATGAGAAATATTGTAGCGAAAATACTCGAGTTTCTACGTTGGTAACATTTCGAATGTTTTCAATATTATAAACATTCAACAAGGCTTGGATGCTCGTTTTAAAGAACATATGCTCAATTTTATAGTTCACGCCATAGACAACAGCAATAGCATGATAGGTGAAAGAGCATCTGTCACCTGCACTGACCAATATAATCCGATCGTCTGCATTCGAGTTCACATTGAAGATTTATTACATCATTTTTATGAGATAAAAACACTCTTATTCAGAATCAAACATTGAATTCTAAAGTTTATTTATATGCATAATACTTGAAAATGTATAATTGCACGTAAATAACGTTCAATAGTATATATTCGTTAGTTTAAAAACACGGTACACAAGCTTGAAAAGTTACCCTAAATGGGATCAGTTATGGGATCAGTTATGGAAAAGATCGGGTTCCAAAGGCCGGATCCCTTGTGAATCCAGTCACGGAAAGTTCAAGAATTGGCAACAGGCTATGGGCCTATTTCTTCAATGCCGACACTTCTATTCTATTCTATTCTAAAAACTAAGTGCTTAAAAGGAAGGTTTACTGTGAACACGGCCTGAGGTCGGAGCATCCCCCCAGACGCCGTATTTCAGCCTGAGCCGTGATGATGCACAACGGACGAGCCACGCATCGTTTCTTATCAGCAGTGCATCTGATGCCGATGCTCAGCTATCAGACCACACATGCACTGGACGCGCATAACGAGTTCTGTGCAGCAAATCCGTGCGGTACTTCGCTCGAGTTATTTCGTAAGCGAATGGACACTACGGTAAAGGTAGATTAAGATGAACGAAACGTGCACATAACATTCTAAAATTAATCAATATAACGACAGTAGATAATTATCGTGCAACTTTATACATAATCCCATACGAGTTACTCCTCAGACGGCCGTGACTGAATGAACTCTAGATGTTGTTACCATCGAAAAACTACAAGAAACTTAATAGTGATTTTGGAACGTGAATATTTTTTTTCTTTACTTGTGATCTGGAAAAAGTTGATATGCGCATTGATTGCTGAATGGTGGAGATATAGAGCAAGATCATTCATCGGGTCATCAACTTCTTCAAGTGCCAAAACCATCGGACGAGTCAGAGAGTTAAGTTCATTGCAGACAATTTCAAACGTTTTTTTCGTAAAGTAACTTTTCACAATGAGAGACTGAATAAACCTGCCACAAAA